CATGGTTGGCGACATATTGTGAGCAACTTGGAGATTATATGAGACAGTAATCGCCCACTCGCATTGGAATCCAAAACTTAGGGATAAATCAGATATGAGTATGATTAATTTTTTTTTCTTAGGACAACAGATTGGAAGAAATATTAGATCTCAAAAGGAAAAAATGATCTCCTTCACTATGGCAGGCCGCACGGTTTCCTAGTTCATATTGAAGAAGCAATTCGACAAGCCATCCGATCTGAGAGCTTTGCCTGGATTGATAGAACACAAAGAAAAGTTAATGTCTTCCATGGATGGGTTTGGCGTTAAGATCGCATTTGTTTCCGGAGATAAACGGTGATCGATGGTCTGGTTGAAAATTACATTCCCCTCTTGCACTGAGGAGGTGAACAACTCTTCGAAGTATGATGTGATGACGCATATAATATAGGGTTCCTCTTGGTAATCGTCTCCCTCATTGTCTTCTATCACAAAAAAAAATTTTAATGTAGAAGCACAACTTCTATGATAAGGCGAATCTGAATATTGCTTAGATTACTAATAAAAACTAGATACAAAATAGCTTTGATTGATACCAAAATTACGAAATTTAAATTTAGTTTACAACATATATAACGAATGTTTCCGCACATAGTGCGGGTGAGAATCTAGTTGCTAATTAAACAGATTAGTTAGGAATGATTTAGAAAATATCATTGCTTTATGACATCTTTTATACTCATATTGATGACAACTTTCACAATGTTCTAAACAAAAAATTAGATGATAATCTAACAGACTGACTTTTCCTAAAGCGAATTTGAACTAAAATATTTAGCACACTTGCAATACTATATGCAACTGGTTATATTGAACCAAAAGATATTGTCGTACTGACAAGAACAAAAGTAAGATAACAACCCCCAAAATATTGTATATCCAACCTTTTATTATGCAATATGTCATATTTGTACGGAGTTGCTATTCAATTTCATGAAAATATATCAACGGTTTTCCGTATTTGTTTTGCAATCACAAATTTTAGTAATTTATTTTGAATAATTTCATAAAATTTTAAAATTCATAAACTCTATGTTCCCTATAGTTTCATGGATTCAAAAAAATGTTCTCTCTGTATTTTAACGGTCAGATTCATTGTTATACTGGGCAGATTGGTAAGGACTCTGACTGTAGACTGTTACTGTAGGATTTTGGCTGTAGAGAAAATGACTGTTAAAACTATGACTGTTACTTTTAAATATTAATAAAAGTCTGATTGGTAATAAAAACTGTATAAGTTGTTATTGTTATTTTAAATACTTGAATTTTATATTAATAATAGAATTTATGCCAAATTCATATTTGAATTCACACAAATAACTATCTTATTTATTATGGTGCATATTAATTTACTTAAAACATAAATAATGTGATATAGTAAAATGTAATCCAAAACAAAGCTTGCTAAAAATTGTAAAAAATGTAATTGTTACTAAAAATTTAGACAATACAGGAAATTTATAATTAAACAATTGAACTTCTTTTGTTGAATAAATTATAAACTATAGTTATATATTTATGATGCAAAAAATAACAATGAACTTTAATATGAGAAAATGGATCTCAAAAGAAAGAAAATAAAAATTCATTATCAATTAGTCAAATACAAATTGTGATAAAAAAATTATTCAAGTTTTTAAAAGAGGTTTCGTAATCTGGGG